ATTCTTGGCCTCACTGCCACTCACATTGCATGCAGCAAATGAAGAAATCATTAATACACCATATGGAAAGGACTATGATAAGGTCTGAACAAAGAGGGCGGCACCTCTCTCTGCCTCCTTGGGGCAAGGCAGTGGTTCTAGAGGCTCCCAGGGAGGCGACATTTGAGCTGGGTCCTAAAGGATGAGGGGAGAAAAAGCATTCTAGGCAGAGGGGTTCCTCACACGAGGACATTGAGGAAAGAAGGGACCAAGGGCTTCCAGATGATGCCTGGCGGTTGTGAGAGGTAGATCAGGTGTCCTTTGCTGCAGGAATCGTGGTCTTCTACAGGCTCTGCAAGATCCAAAGTCAGGATTGCTCTGGCTGAGTCTTTATACATCCTGTCTTGGTGTGGCCTTCCACTTCTGACTTGGCCAGCTTTCAAAAGGAACCATCTACAAAGTGAATCCCTCAGGCTCAGCTATAGCTGTTTGAAAGGAAAAGAAAAAAAAAATGATGGCGGATCAGGGACTCGGGCACTGAAGAGACACAGTTGCAGGAATGAGTGGAGCACACTGTAGACTCAGTCTTCTGTCCCTGATAACTGAATCTGGATTCCTTCCAAAAGGCTGAGCCCAAGATGAGTTCAGAAGGCTTTGGTAAGTTTCTTAGTGTAACTCATCAGCTTAGCAAGAAGAGTCACCACAGTTTGTCTTCTTTTAAGATCTCCGAGATAGCCTAAATAGAATCCCCTTTTGTATTTCTCATGAACTTTTTTAAATAGCAGAATTCTTGAGATACCTAGGTTAAGGAGCCCTGGTGGCACAATGGTTAAGCACTTGGCTGCTAACCAAAATGTCAGTGGTTCAAACCCACCAACCGCTCCACAGGAGAAGGAATGTGGCAGTCTGCTCCCATAAAGATTGCAGGCTTGGAAACCCTATAGGGCAGTTCTCCTTTGTCCTTCAGGGTCACTATGAGTCAGAATCAACTCAGCAGCAACAGGTTTGGTTTTTGTTTTTGAGTTTTCCCATTGTACATGGGAAGTATAATCCGATAGATGGTAGAATCAGCCTAAAGACAAAAAGCAAACAGCTGCAATGCCGGGAAAACTGTCACCCACTTGTTCTTCGGCAGGTTTGTTGTTAGTTGCTATTGAGTCGATTCCAACTTGTGGTGACCCCAGGTGTGCAAAGTAGAACTGTTCCACAGGGTTTTCCAAAGCTGTGACCTTTTAGAAACAGATTGCCAGGCCTTACTTCTAACTTCTAAGGCATCACTGAGTGGGTTGGAACCATCAACATTTTGGTTAGTAGTCCAGTGCTTAACCATTTGTGCCATCCAGGGACTCCTTGTCCTTTGTCAGATGTAGGGGCTGACACTTCTGTATCTGTGCCACAGGGTGGGTCCTAGCTTGCCAGATGCTGTGAAGACCCGGCAGGGGCACTGTTGGATACCAGACCTTTCCTCTTATTAACTCTTGTTCCAGATCCCTTATTCATGCTTCCCAAGCTTGGGCTGGCATTCCTTCTAGAACAAAGGCCAGTGGGAGAAGGGGCAGAGCGGGTTCTGAATCAGTTGATCATTCCAGACATCTGTGCTTCCCTCTTGGTTCCATAGCAACTATTGGCCAGCTGTTGTCACAACCACTTCTGTAAGATTTCTTTGAACTAATCAAATCTCAATATCCCTGACTTTACAGATCCTGCCCTTTGCCCCAGAGAAGTTCCCTCTGCTTTTTCTTTCTGATTAATTGTGTACAGCTTTATTCCACAATCAATGTTTAAGACATTTAATATACAACTCTTGACTTATCTTGCTCTGGGAAAATAGCCCCAATATAGAAACCAAGTCCCTCTTTGAGCTGGCTAAAATAGACATTGTTTTTCATCCTGTTGGTACTTTGTAACTTGACCACAGTGTTAAGGAGGTCCTGCAGGGTTGCCATCCTCAAAGGAGCACATTTGACTGTGTCAGACCCACAACTCACTGACTAGTCAGGTTTCCCTCGGATATGCCATGTAGCACACAAAAATTTCAGAGTCTTACAACCACAAGCATTATTTCTTGCTGTGGGTCTGCGGGCACCAGGGGTGGGTCTGCTTTAGGCTGCTAGTTGGGTTTAGGTCAGCTCGTTGTGTTTCATGGTTCTGGGACCAGTGACTACAGAGAAGACTCTTCTCACAGCCAAAGTCTGGATCGCAGGAGACCAAGTAAAAACCGAGGCACATTTAGAGTCTCTGCTCAGCTCTTGTCCACTCACATTCCATTGGCTAAAGTAAGTCACATCTCAAGCCCAACATCAAGGGGCAGAAATATATTCCTCCCACGGAGGGGAACCAAAACCAACCAGTTGCCATCGAGTCGATTCCGACTCATAGTGACCCTATAGGACAGAGTAGAACTGTCCCATAGGGTTTCCAAGGCTGTAATCTTTACAGAAACAGACTGCTGCATCTTTGTCCAGTGGAGTGGTTGGTGGGTTTGAACCGCCAACCTGTCAGTTAGCAGCCAAGCGCCTAACCACTGCTGCACGAGGGCTCTTTCACGGAGAGGGGAAGGGAGAGTGAATATGTACCGAGCAATAATACCACATCTGCTTCACACCCACTGCCGTGGTGACCTAGAGGAGATGAGAATGAGCTTTGCATGCTCCTTGACCATTTTTCTGCTTATTTTTCTCCCCTCAACCCAGCACGTGCCCATATTGGCTCTGCAAGCTCTCCTCCATCTCCTTTGATGGCTTCTTACCTGCCTCTTAGCTCCCACTCAGCTGTTTAACCTTCCCTGGAAACCTGATCTTTCCATGGAGCGAGATCAAAGTCCCTGCCCAGGGTCTTACCTGACTTCTAAGTCTGACCACCCCCTCCATACAAGGCTGTTTCCCGGGAATTCACTCGAGCTCAGCACATCCAAAATCACACTTTTTCCCAGACAGCACCTCAATCGAGTACACCTTTATTCCCAATTTTTTAATTTATTTTAAAGCCACCGTCTGTTTCCCCCTAAGTTCTTAAGTTTTGAGGCCTTTGAGTCTTTTGTCTTTAAATATCCCTTTTTTGTTTTTTATTGTTGTTTATTTAATGAACCACTAAACTCTGTTTGACCTTACACATTTGCTCCTGGAATCACTCTTCCTTCTCTCCTATTCTGCGCCATGCTCTTACAAGCACATGCCCAAGTGACAGCCAGCCTCTGCGTCCTTCTCCTCCTGCAGTGCTCTGGCCTTCCGCTGCTGTGGAGTTTCCTAACCACACTGCTCCCTGCCGTCCAAGTGCTCCCACCCCCTCGTACCCCACAGAGAATGCTGGCAGCCGAGGAGTGGCTGGGGAGAGCCCGGGGAAGAAGTCTGTCACTGGCCCCATTGTTCCGTACAGCCTTCCCTGCTCTATTTCTTGGTGCCAGCCCTCTGTTCTAATAGGAGTAAGCTCTCCCCCTGCTGCCTTGACGCCTGCTCATTCCTGTGAGTTTGCATTTACTTTGATCTTCCACCAGTGGGGGATCTCCTGGTGTTTGTCCCCCAGGACCTGGCTTTTTCTAAGCCTTCAGTACACCTTGAAGGCAGGAATTGCTTACACAGATGGATAGGAGCCAAAACTGGAGGCAAATGTTAAGGAGACTGGACTGGCTGACACGGAGGATACCTGCTGTGGAGCTGACCTACCCACCCATGCTTTTCCCCCTTCTCTACCTCCCAACTAGGATTTAGAGAGGTCTGAGCACACAGTGCATAGCACTATGATGTATACTTCTTGGTTACTTAGGATTAAATATTACAACTGGGCAAACAAGCTCAGTCCCAATGATGAATATCCCTGAACACCAGGGCGAGGCCTTGGCAGTGATCCTGTATTATCTCCACATGGCCAGCTCTTTATAGTACCTAGTGTGTAAGAGACACTCCGTGGATGTTTGTTGACTGTGTGGATGAGTGAGTGAGTGAAAGAACAGGCTGCTGGGGATGAGGAGAACAAACCACACTCCTGAATACACAGTCAGTATAGCACCATCAGTGTATGATTTGTGTGTCATCAAGGTCCTTGGGTGGTACAAGCAGTTTGCGCTCTACTACTAACCTAAAGGTTGGCGGTTCAAACCTACCCAGTGGTGCTGTGAAAGAAAGGCCTGGCAGTCTGCTTTTGTACAAGATTACAGCCAAGAAAACCTTATGGAGCAGTTCTACTCTAACACATGGGGTTGCCATGAGTCAGAATTGACTAGATGGCAACAGGTCGTCAATGTAACAAAGCACGTGACAAGTCATATCATATATTTGATAGTTATTTCCTATTTTTTTCAAGCCTTTCCCTCCCCATTTCCACCGCTGTGAAGTACCATGAAAGTAAAGTATCCTGGACACTCAAAGAGGTGTGCTTACCCAGACCAGGTGGTTAATGACAGACCCTGAGCTGACATCCACGTTATAAAACTTGACCTCAAGGCCTGCACAAGAGTCTCTTCTGATTCCCATAGCACATCAGACTCGTTAAAGCTTCAGAAGTAATGAGATGTTCTTCCCTGGCTTTTGATAGACTTACGCTAATACAGTAGGGAGTCGCTGCTGATCAGCAGAGAGAGGCAGCATTGATTTAAGGATCCGTCACTTCCAAACCATACTGGCTGATGAAGACAAAGTCGTCGTCATAAACTTGTCTTTTTCGTTATTCCTGTGCATATGCTTCCTGTTAATTAGAGACATCAGGAGATAACACTTTGTTTTCCAGCAGTCCTAATTAAAGATTCCTGATTTTAGAAAGGACCAAGTACCCCCACCCCTCAGTAGGCAAATAGGTGGCCTGCATTTGTTTGTTCCCTTCTCATGTCCCAGTGCCAAAGCTCCCTGGCACATGTTGCTGATAGAGGTGTCCTGCGTCCTCACCTCTTGTCTCACAGGTAGATCAAGCAACAATGGATGCTTCCACCTAAAACTATAAGTTGGATTGACGTGTCCTATCCATGAAAGGATATAGCCATGGGATAACTTTCAAATCACACTGTAAGTTATATCTGTTTTTATTCATTTAGACTGATGAGGTTGAAGCTGTATGCGTCATGTATCGATTATCACCTCGAGGATGGAGACAGCCTTTCCTGATGAGGATTAAATGGAAGGACTGAGGAGTACGCAGCACTGGTTTCCTTCCCTTTACCTGTCTGCTTCTAACCATCTCTTCTTGTTTTTAGGCTCAGTTATGAATGATGCTATGGGGGCTACCTCCTGTAGAGCAGTTAGAAAATCTCTTTGGGTTATTTTATTTTATTTTTTTTAAAAAAAGCTATTCGTCCAGTCTGGATAGTTTTGCTCTTGTGGGTTTTGATGGTTTTTTGTTTGTTTGTTTTTTAATCTCAGTACCTTGTAACTGTCCGTAATCACAATATTTATTTATGTGGCGGTTGGTTTTGTAATGTCTATCTCTCCCACTGGACTGGAGGCTCATTGAGAGCAGGGATTAGGTCTGACTGGCCATCGTATACTCACATACTCAGTGCAGAGGAGCCCTAGTAGCACATGGTTAAGTGCTGGGATGCTAACCAAAAGGTCGGCAGTTGGAACCCACCAGCGGCTCTGGGGGGGAAAAGACCTGGCCATCTGTCCTGTAAAGATTACAGCCTAGGAAACCCTTTGGGGCAGTTCTGCTCTGTCCTATGGGGTTGTTATGAGTTGGAATCGACTTGATGGCACCCAACAGCAACATTCGGTACAGTATCCAGAACAGGGTTGACTCTCAGTCAGGGGATATTCATTGAATGACTAAATGAAATGGGCCCACTTTTTATTTTTCCATGGAGACACTGTCTATTCCTAATTCTGTTAAAGATTTAGCTAGGCAAGTTTATGATCAGTGCTAGAGTCGGTCTGGCTGTGTTTAAGAAAAAGCCATTATTTCCAAGAATGACACAGAATGAGCAAACTGGGCCAATACCAGAGTGAAACGAAAAAGAGCAAGGGGAATTTGTGTGTGTGTGTGTGTGTGTGTGTGTGTGTGTTATTGCAAGAATGCAATAAGGTACCAGCTCTGTGTGTGTGTATGTACAAACTTTCAGTCAGTGGTAAACTAATCCTCGATGGTATTTTTCTTCTTGTTTGTTTACTCCTACTTTGGTTCAATGTTGAGTTTTAAGACCTTGAGATAAAAACTCAGCCAAGCTTATAATGAGTAAGGCCTTTGGAATATGGTGTTTTTGAATGTTAGAAATGGCTCCATTTAGAAGAGAGAGAGAATTATAGTTGGAAGAAAGTTGCAAGGAGGAAAATCTGCTTGTCCAACTTATCTTTGAAAATGAGTCCAGCAGGCAAAAGAATCCAGATTCTGTAAAGTATTAGTCATTTCAGTTTCCCATAACACATAAGATTTCTCAGTAGATAGACACAACTCCGATTTAATCTTCTGCTAATAAATAATATTAATTCAGCATGAGCACCCAAATAAATACATAAGATGCCTTCCTGGGTACTCTTATGCCAGGTTAATGCTCACGTTTTAACTGCCTCTTTATTAGGACCCCTTGGCTTGCTTCTTTTTGGACAAGGAAAAGAGAAATGGCTTCTGTTGAGCATTTTTTCCTGTGCCAGACAAACGTGTGTGAACTTGCCAGATATTTGCAACCATCTTGGAGGTGGTGATTGTGGTCCTCATTTTACATACAAGAAAGCCGAATTGCCCAAAGTTGCACAGCTAGTTAAATAGTGGAACTGGAATTCCAAGTGGGCTTTAGAAAGGACCTCTCAAAAACAGAGTGGGCCAACATGCCTTCTGGGGCTCTAGAATTGCATTTTGAAATGATTTTGTTTGAGGATGAGAACAAGACCAACAGAAAATGACTCATACACTGCCTTTCCAGAACTTTGCCATCCCTTTGGAAGTTTCAGTAGCCTTCCCCGCCCCTTTTTGGAAACCTCCATTTTGTCTCCAAGTACTGTGTGTTCTCCAGTCTCACTGAGGTCAGCAGTATAATGCAGGAAAGAAAAATGTGGGAAAATATAAAAGATGAAAAGGTAGAGCGACTCTGTCAGTGCGATCTGACACATCCTGTAAACACTCTCACTATGGCTAAATAGGAAAGCAAGGAGATTTGTTTCTCATTGAGAAATAAAAGTGCTTTGGCTTGAAGAATGTTCAAAAAATAAATCCGTCATTACCCTAGGTATTTCTTGAAATGAAATTAGTTCATATCAAACCGTGTCATGAGAGAAATAATTCTGCAGTCCTTCAGAATGTTCCTATTTTCCATGCAAACATTAAAGTGATCATTTAATCTTACATACAATTCCCTGAACTCTCCCTAAATAATTGCTTTGGTGATTTTAGCTCAACCTTGAAACAGACTTGGATCTGTTCAGTATGTTTGACTTCATTTGAAAGAGAGAAGTCATTTTAAAGAAATTGAGACCACAGAGGTTTAAACACGTTGCTCATGGGGCCGAGAAGAGAGGAGTGTGTGGAGCCAAGAATGCAATAAGGTACCAGCTCTAACAATAATAATACCACCTACTATATAGATGGTGCTTTAAATAACGCCTTCCAGACATCTTCATTTACAGTCCCTCATTTAATCTATATGATGGCCCTTTGAGGTAGGCAGGACAACTGTTTGAAAAATCAAACGCGTTGCCGTTGAGTCGATTTCTATTCATATCGACCCTCTTTTTGTTGTTGTTGTTAGTTATTGTCAGTTGATTTTGACTCATGGCGACCCCATGTGTTACAGAGTAGAACTGCTCCATAGGGTCTTCAAGGCCGTGACCTTTTAGACGCAAACTGCCAGGTCTTTCTTCAGAGGCACCTCTGGGTGGGTTTGGTTAGTAGTCCAGCACTTAACCATTTGTGCCACCCAAGGACTCCAGCGATCCTGTTTTTTGAAACAAGGAAATTGAACCTCTAAACAACTGACTTATCCAAGGTCACAAGCTAAAGTCAGCACTCGAACCCAAATCTACTGCTCTTTCTACCACGCCATTTGTCTGTCTTAAGAGGCAAGCATTTACTGTGAATAAGCTCTTGTTACAAAGATTTGCCATGTCTCATGCAAAGTCTTGGGGTTTTCCCTATCAAATGATGCTTGAAACGTGGGCATTGCCTGAGATTTGTAACAGGATTGATGGAAATGGAATTTTGCCTTTTATAATGAAGTTCTGAATTATTTTTTGCTGTAACGCCAAGGTTGCAGATGAGCTAAACATAAGTCAATATTATATGAATAAACTGGTGTACCTAACTGCTCCATAGCTTGGGCATGTGGGTTCCAGGATAAATCTCTGAAACTGCTTAAAGTGGGATAAGAAGCAGATAGCGAAGAGGAGATAAACGTTAATTAGTGTAATGTAACTCTGGTTAAAAGAACAGCTTGAAGTATTTGGAATGAAAGTAGTGTGGACAGCTTTAGAAGTATTTTTCAAAGTAAGTCAGCCTTTTGTCCAAATAGAGTTTGAAAGCTTGTATCCATTCATTCTTTTATCCATTTACACATTCAGCGACTCTTTGCATAGTATCCCCATTGTGCCAGTCACTGTGCTGGGTGGGCCCCGAGGAGCCAAAGAAAGGCATACTCCCTGTCCTTGAGGAGCTCACAGACCGATAGGAACACTTTGCCACACAGGTGTAAGTTTTACAAAGGATAGCATTCGTCTTATGATGGGTACCAAGTTTACCTGCCCTCAACATTTTTAAATCTTTTATTTTCTTACAGTTGAAATTTTCAGTATTTCATATAACAAGAGGTATTGAAATCAGTCTAATTTATGAGAAGCCTAATTCAGTAGACATTCATTCATTCATTCAGCAATTATTTATCAAATGCATACTATGTTCCTGGGCCTCTGCTAAGGAGCAGGGTTACAGAGATGAAGCTAATATACTTCTTGCCATAAGGAGCTCTCAGTCCAGTAGAGGAAATATATACAAATATGCCCAATCCTGATTGCCACTGACTAGCTGCATGAACTTTGGCAGGCAATTTAATGTCATGAGGTTTTTGTAACAATAAAAAGATAATGGCCAAAAACCAGTAGACAGAGCCAGGCACGTAAGAAGTTCTTAGGTAGTCACTGTTGTTCATTATTATGAGAGAAGTATGGGGAGGTCTGTGAGGCCTGCTTAGGTCAGAGGGGCCACTGTGCCTCAGGGAGGGCTTGGCCAGGAGAGGCTTTCTGGAGGAGGTGCTGCTTGAGCTTCATCAGGAGCCAAGCTGACCAGGTGGCGAGACAGGCAGATGGAAGGAGCAGCATGCAGAGATGGGGGGTGAAGAGCTGAGATACTTAGGGAGACTTAGAGAGGGCGGCACTGTTGGAATCTGAAGTACAAGGAGAACTTTAACCAGAATATCACCAGAAACAGGCTGGGCCAGACATTAGGTGGCCTCAGAGTGGCAGCTGCACCCTGCAGCCAGGGGCCAGAGTGTGGAATAGGCAGGTTTGCATTTCAGAAAGACCAACCCCCGCAAAAAATAAACCTGTTGCCACCAAGTCAATTCCAACTCATAGCGACCCAGGGAGTAGGCAGAGTAGAACTGCCCTATAGAGTTTGCAAGGCTGTAAATCTTTACGGAAGCAGACTGCCCCATCTTTCTCCTGCAGAGATGCTAGTGGGTTCAAACCACCTACCTCTTGGTTAGCAGCTGAGTGCTTACCACTGTGCCACCAGGGCTCCCTTCAGAAAGACCACCTGGTCCCAAATTCTACAGTGAGAACTCAAGATTATTTTGCCCAATTCTCTTCTCGTTTACATATTCCACATGGTCTGTTATAAGGAAAAAGAGAACCATTTCAAAAAACTACTGGACAATTAAAAGTCATGTTGAGGATCCATCTTCAAGCAAGAAATACTGTGTATACAAGGGGGAAAGCTTACTTTCTCTAGGGAAAACTAGAAAAGTAATATTCTGATTTGGTCCAGCAAGTGCTGTAAGAGCAAGTCAGGTATAAAATATGTACATTTCCTAGTAATATCTTTGATTGTGTTGGCAGAAAATTGCTTATTTGGGATAAACTGTCAGGGGGACAAGCAAGGTTTTAGCTGTACCCAGTCCAAACCAAAACCTATTCTGTTTTAAACTCACCTGGCATGCCAGGGCCTAATGCAGTGGAAGCCTACAATCTAGAATGGTGTCAAACTCTCTTTATATCTCATTTTAGGATTAAAATTGAACTACTTTTATCAATGAAAAGTGTTGAAAAGCAGAGGTGTCACTTAAAGGACTAAGGTATGCCTGACACAAGCCATGGTGTTTTCAATTGCCTCATATGCATGCAAAATCCAGACAATGAATAAAGAAGACTGAAGAAGAGTTGATGCCTTTGAGTTATGGTGTTGGCGAAGAATATTGAATATACCATGGACTGCCAGAAGAACAAACAAATCTGTCTTGGAAGAAGTACAACCAGAATGCTCCTTAGAAGCAAAGATGGCAAGACTTTGTCTCATGGACTTTGGAGACCAGTCCTTGGAGAAGGACATCATGCTTGGTAAAGTAGAGGGTCAGTGAAAAAGAGAAAGACCCTCAAAGAGATGGATTGACACAGTGGCTACAACAATGGGCTCAAGAATAACAACGATTGTGAGGATGGCTCAGGACCAGGTAGTGTTTCATTCTGTTGTACGTAGGGTCGCTATGAGTCGGAACCGACTCGATGGCATGCAGCAACAACACTTTTGTCATGGTGTTAATAAAAATAAATACAAAAAAAAATAGTAGAAAGAAACATGTTCCTTTGATTTCTGAAGTGCAGACGAGGCTGTGACAGGTTGTTGTTAGTTGCCGTGGAGTCGATTCCAGCTCATGGCGACCCTGTGTGTGTAGAGTAGAACTGCTCCAAAGGGTTTTCAAGGCTGTGACCTTTCAGAAGGAGATAGCCAGGCCTTTCTTCCGAGGTGCCTCTAGGTGGGTTTGAATTGCTAACCTTTTAGTTAGTAGTTGAACGCTTAACCATTTGCGCCACCCAAGGGCTCCTTGTGACACAGCATTGTTGTTAGGTATCATTGAGTTGATTTTAACTCATAGCAACCCCACGTGACAGAGTAGAAATGCCCCATAGGGTTTTCTAGGCTGTAATATTTATGGGAGCAGATCACCAGGTCTTTCTCCTGCAGAGCTGCTGGGTGAGTTCGAATCGCCAAACTTTTGGTTAGCAGCTAAGTGCGTTAACCTTTGCACCACCAGGGCTCCTTAGCTGCCTATAAATACTGCAGAAGCAGAACTGTAGAATGAGCTTGCTGGCCCTCAATTTAACTAGGAAAACGTGTTTTCTTTCATTATTTTGGCCTTGTAGGATGTTTTCCTAAATGAGAAATGATCACAGTCAGTGTGCCTGACCCTTGTTGCCCCAATCATTTCATGAAGAATAATAACATTACGGCAGAGCAGTCTGGAAAGAACATCGGCTTGCTTAGGTTAAAGATTCTCAGTGACCTCGGCACACACACTATGCCAAGGGGGAAAGAAGAATTGAGGGTTAAGTATGTAGATGGTCAACTGTGGCAGAGTAACCAGCACTTTCTTCAGCACCCGAGGGTTTTCACTTCCTTCTTTGGAAGAATCTCGTCTTGGTGGGAAGTATAATTATCCTTGCATATGCCACTTCGGGGAGAGAACGTGTGTCCATAATCCCTGAAAGGAAATACCCTGGCATGGTAAGAGTCCATCCTGGCTGACCTAGTGAGGGTTAGCAGCTGCTGCCAAGACACTCTGCATGGGAGGTGGCCTGGCAGGAAGACCAGAGGCATTGCTAGTTTCTGGAAGCTAGAGGGAAAGTCACTCCTTTCTATGTATGTTGTTGTTGTTGGGTGCTGTTGAGTCGATTCCAACTCATAGGGACCCCGTGTGACAGAGTAGAACTGCCCCATAGGGTTTTCTTGACTGTAATCTTTACAGAAGCTGAATTACCAGGTCTTTCTCCTGCAGAGCTGCTAGGTGGGTTCAAACCACCAGCCTTTCGATGAGCAGCTGAGTGTGCAACCGTTGTGCCACAGGGTGCATTGACACACTGATAGCTGGCTTCTATGTATCTCCTACTCCTTTATTTATATTTTTATTTTAATTTTCGAATATATGATACTTGCACATGGTACAAAATTCAAAGGTTCGAAAGAGAAGATGGTGAAAAGTCTCTCTCCCATCCCTTTTTCTCACCACCCAGTTCTCCTCCCGGGAGTTGCCAATGTTACATTTCCTGGGTACATTTCCAGGGAGAGACTCACCCACTTACTCTTGATATGTCTGTCTCCTTGCTTCCTGAGAGCAGGGATTGTGTTTGACAATAACTGTGGTAAAACTTCTTTGCAACCTTGTTGTGAACATAGTGTGATGTTGAAAATATAAAGCTATTTGGGGGAAGGGGTAATTTAGCCTATTTAACAATAAAATATTATTATATATGATATTTTACATAGTAAAATATTTTTATTCTATGTCTCATTTTACTTTTATTACAATCTGGAAAATAGTTAAGAGCAGGTATTATTATTTCCATTTTACAGATTATAAAATGAGGTGAAGCGGAAGTAAGTACCTTTCATTATATCTTATAGCTAATCAGTGGCAGAATGAGGCTAGAGGTGGTCTATGGATTTCTCTTGTATTTATAATTCTCTCCAGTGTAGAGATTATGGGGGGATTCTCCACTGTCTATTTTGAGTTTTATATAGAATCTGTTCTGATTTTAGAAATACTTTTGCCTCTCACCTTCAATAAAATATTGCAATAAAGTAATATTATGGATGGTTATTAAAGAAGACCCATACCAAGAAATATATCTTCTTATAACTGATTTCAGTGTCCTTCTCTGTGCCAAGACAGTGCTAGGTGCTTTATGTAAGCCATTTAATGTCACAACAACCTTGTGACGTGGATGGTGTTAGCCCATTTTACAGTTGAGGAAACTGAGGTACAGAGAGAGAAAGTAATATACCAATGGTCACACAACTTGAAAGTGGTGGAACTGCAATTCAAACCCAGATCTGTGCCTATTTCTGCCAAGTAGTGCTACCTTCCCGGATTTGGAGCCTGAAGCAGAAATGCTTACTATCTCCGTAACACAGATGTTTGATTTATTTAAAGATCCAAGAAATACTTATGGGTCTCAATTATTAGCAGTTATTCAAAGAGTATAAAAAATCAAGTGCTGAACCCTCTTAAAAATAACATGGAGCATTATTTAAAGAAGTCAAAACTTGATCCCTGCTTTCAGAACGTTGCCATCAAGTTGAAGGCAAAGAAGTAATGCAAATAAGCATCAGAACATTAAATAACATGATCATAACCCACACTCGGAAACATAGAATCAGAGAGGTTTGAAGTTAGAGAGGCCTGGGAGGTTATTTAGAAACTCCATCCAAGCCTGAAGTCATCCTTTTCTGTGATTCGTCTGTCAGTGATACCACCAGTCTCCCAAGACACCAAACCCACAGATATGGAGTTCTAGTACATTCCTTCCACTCCTTCATCTCCAGTCTCCTGAGCTAGCCTTGCAAACTAAATTTAAAGTGACCATCAAATATTGCACCCTTCCCTCATGCCCAGAAAAAACAATAAGCCCATTCAGTTCTTTTACATGTATCCTCAACCCCACCAACCATGCTTATCCTGGTTCATATCCCATCAAGTCCAGGCTTTAAAAAAGGGACAGTAAGCTAGATTTCTGGACCCCAGTCTCTTTGCATTGTAGTCCAACAAACCACTCTGCAGCCACAAGAACCCTCCTAAGCCACAATGCCCCTGTTTCTTCCCTGATAAGGCTACCGCGGCTCTTTTTGTGGTCTCTATTTTAACTCTCACTCTGCCTTCTCACAGCTGCGCTGGTCTCTCTCCATCTCCTCACATATCAGGTCCACATGCCTGCCTCTTTGCTTTAGCTTGGGATGATTTCTTAATCCAGATGCCTCACACCATAGAAATGTGGTAGAATGGGTGCTGGACCATGCTATCTATGCTGAGGGGAGTTGAAAGCGGCCTGAGCACCCATCACTGGTAGAATGGACAAGCAAGATGTGGGCGATGCCCTCCAGGGAATGTTAGGCAGCAACGGATGCTTCAGTGGTTGCACTTCCAGTGGTGAAAACAACTCCAACCACGTGAGTCCTGCAAATAACAACTACAAACTCTGGACAAAACACAAATAGAGAAACCACAGGAAACTCAGCTACCTGAAGGCACTGGAGAGTAAAGAAAAGCCAGCAGATTCTGGAGGGATGTCAAAATGTGAAAGAAGGAAATGTCTCAGAGCGAGTTTCCCAATTTTATGCCTTTTAGCCCAAAGTCAGACCTCGTCAGTGGCCACATGTATAGGTTAAATCTCCAATAAAAAACTACAGCCTTTCTAGTCTGAAGAACCAGATGACAGACTTCAGGGAAACCCCCGCCTCTGGAAAGTGAGGAAGCGGGTATATATCCCAGAATGGAAAGCATGAGAGAGTGGAGTGTCCAAATATTTTGTATAAACTCTGCCCAAATTTCTGACTTACCCCTAAACCACAAATGCATGGGACAGATTCTAGCTAAAAATATAAGAACTAAAGTGATATTTGAATTGTCACCTAATAGGAATGCCTAATACGAAATGTTTTCTATTTGAATCCAACCAAGTTAATTGCTGGCTTAAAAGAAAAAAAAAAAAACAAAAAACAGTACTTTTTAGAGGAATATAACAGAGTCCACATCATAACCTTGATAATATCCAGGATATATTGCAAAATTATTTGACATACAAGGAACCAGGAAAATGTGACTCAATTTTAAGAGAAAAGACAATTAACCGATACCAACCCTGAAATGACTCAGATGCTGGCATTAACAAAGTTTTTTTTTTGGCATGGCGCAGTCTTCTCTCTCTCTCTTTTTTTTTAAATTGTACTTTAGATGAAGGTTTACAGAACAAACTAGCTTCTCATTAAACAGTTAGTACACATATTGTTTTATGACATTGGTTAAAAACCCCACAACATGTCAACACTCCCTTCTCGACCTTGGGTTCCCTATTACCAGCTTTCCTGTCCCCTCCTGCCTTCTAGTCCTTGCCCCTGGGCTAATGTTCCTCTTTCGTCTCATTTCATTTTTTAAGCCTGTCTAATCTTTGGCTGAAGGGTAGACCTCAGGAGTGACTTCATTACTGAGCTAAAAGGGTGTCCGGGGGCCGTACTCTCGGGATATCTCCAGTCTCTGTCAGGCCAGTAAGTCTGGTCTTTTTTTCGTGAGTTAGAATTTTGTTCTACATTTTTCTCCAGCTCTGTCCGGGACCCTCTATTGTGATCCCAGTCAGAGCAGTCAGTGGTAG